TTCCCATTAAATAATGGTGAAATTCAATAGGAATGATAAAATTAGGGATCTCCATCCCAGGAGTGATGACATCCATATATCAACCCTAGAGGCCCCATTCAGCTGCCATGGATTCTATTCTGTCATGGGAGTGCACACTATGCCAAGAGAGTTAATGTTTGGATGGTGCCCACAGTAGTGTTACGACTTCCATCGGACTGCCCTCTTCATCTCTCTGGATCTCTTTATGAGAGGCTGCAGTTCTCACAAATGACTATGTAAGAATGACCAGGAGAGTGCCTGTGAAAGGCAGGCAGCCCCACACTAAGGGAAGCCAAATGGTCACTGGGCATTTGCCTACACATTTTTTTGTGGTGGGGAGGGTATCTAGCATGGATAAGTAACAATTTGCACCGATGCTATAGCTCTCAAGTAGGATGTTTGTTGGCAGCTTGCAGTGCCAGCTCTTAACTCTATAGTTGTTATACAATGGGTTACTCTGGGTGGTTCCATGGAAGACACTCAGTGTACTTGGAGCAGTAACTATTCAACCACTATGGACATGTATCAATATTTTAACAACTGCTACAGCTGAACCAATGTGTACTAGCTGAGTATCAGGCCTGAATGCAGTATACTGCTCTTCAGAGCAAGATTTTAAGTGATGTTTTATTTATCTTGTTTTGTGTCTGCCTGTGGTATACTAGGAGGAACATTAAAGTCTTCCTCCATGATAAATTTGTCCATTTTCTCCTTGAAGTTATCAGTTTTTGATACATATATTTAAATTTAAAACTCATTCAAGTTCAAAACTATTTTATCTTCCATGTGAACTGAACTTTTATCAGCATGAAGTGACCTATCTCTAGTAAATTTTTTTGCCTTAAAGCCTAGTTTGTATTTTAATATAGCTCACAAGCTTTTGTTTAGAATGTCTGATATATTTTTGTTTATCCTATTGAACATTTAGTACTATTATAGTTGTTATAATTAATAATATTTGGACTTATTTTCAGCCATTGTGTTTTTTTATTATACCTTGTCTACTTTTTTTCTTTCCCTTTCTTGTATTCTCTTGAATTTTTTCTTGTTCCATTATTTTTTCCTCTAGTAGGCTAGAGATAATATATTCTTTCTTATCTTTTAATCTTGCAAATTTTAATATGCAAACATTAAAACCAACAGTTAATATGTCAAATACTCCCTGAAGAAAACAAATTTAGAACATCCCTTCATAATTTATTATTTTCTTCAATTTTAGTTCCATCTTTGTTAATTGCAAAAGACAAAACTGAAATTAGATTTAGTTTCACATACACATTTCCCACTTTCTTTGTTCTTCATTCTTTCTACCATCTCAGACCTTCCAGTTGAAAACTCCTCTCTGAATGTAGAATTCCATTATTGAAGGTCTGGTGGCAAACTCACTGGGCTTTGCTTGTGTATGTATTTAATCTTCAATCTTGACAAAAATGAGGAATCCATCTTTGATGGGTATAGACATCTAGACTGGCAGTTTTCTTCCCAGCATACTGAAAACAATCACTTTCTTCTGATTTGCACTATTATTGATGACTAATTGGCTATCACTCTCATAATTACCCCTTTGAAGGTCTTTTTCTCTAGTTTTTAAGATTTTAGTATTTGTTGTTCTGGAGTCACTGTATGTCTAGAAAGGATTCCTGCTTGGGGTCTGTTGGGCATCTTAAATCACGGCCTGCTGACTTTCTTCAGTTCTTCAAGTTCTCAGCTATTATTTCTTAAAAAAAAAAAAAAAAATTTTTCCCCCCATTATTTATCTCATTTTCTTCAGGAGCTGACCAAATATATAGTATGCCTTTTCTCTCTATGCTTCAGGTCACTAAACCTCCTTCATATTTTCAATCTCTGCATCTTTCTTGTCTCCATTCTAGATAATTTCTTCATTTCTATTTTCCAATACACTACTTATCTCTACAGCAGTGCCTAATGTGTTTTCATAAAGGATAGCTTGACAAAGTCCCACATATTTCTATTAACATCAAATTTCATTTGTCAAAATGTTATCTTAGGAGGTGATACACTTGTTTTGATAAAACTGTTACTGTATAATATTTCTGGAATTCTTTAGAAATTACCTCTACTCCATGTATCCTTTCATTTCTTTTTTAGTGCTAAATTTTTTCTAGTCTGGTCTCTATTAAATTCATAATTTTAATTCTTACCTTCCATGTCACCTCTCCTTCTCTGTACTGAGAAGTCCTTATAAATGACAGTGATAATGGTACCCAGTAAGCTGATTTAACCCAAAAAACATAAGAATATATGAAATTATCTCATTTAACACAGATGTCTTTTTTCTATAAAATTAAGTCCTGCAAAAATCTGGAGCCTATTAGTAAATGTAGTAAGAATAATAAAAAATTATAACACAACTATTTTCACCTATCACATTCACATAGATGAAAAAAATGGCAATGTGCAATGTTGGCAAAAGTATGGGGAGACAGGCACTTTCATATGTGTGTGACAGGAATTAGTAAAATCTTCAGAGGGCAGTTTAATAATATGTATCCAAAATCTTCACCACCTTTCACTCATTCTAGAGAATTATCATGAGGACATAAATCTAAAAGTTTTGTTTATAGAGGTTTTATTTAAACTAATGAAAAATGTTAAATAATGTAAAAAGACATTAACATAGGTAATTCACAATATATTGTATGAAAAAAAGCAGGCAACAAAATAATATGATTCCATGTTTATATTAAAATAAACATATGCAGGGCACCTGGGTGGCTCACTCATTAAGCATCTGCCTTCAGCTCAGGTCATGATCCCAGGGTCCTGGGATCGAGCCCCACATCGGGCTCCCTGCTCAGAGGGAAGCCTGTTTCCCCCTCTCCCACTCCCTCTGCTTGTGTTCCCTCTCTCACTGTGTCTCTGTCAAATAAATAAAAACCTTAAAAAATATATAATAAAATAAACATATGTAGGGGCGCCTGGCTGGCTCAGTTGGAAGAGCATGTGACTCGATCGCGGGGTCATGAGTTCGAGCCCCATATTGGGTGTAGAGATTATTTAAATAAATAAAAACCTTTAAAATATAAATAAATAAAATAAACATACACACACAAAAATTTCCTTGGATAGCCATTCAATCTCTGGGATTATAAGTGATGTTTAGCTTCTTTTTGCTCGTTTATTGCCTAGGTTTTCTAGAATGAGTATGTATCAATTGTAAATTAAACATCATTGAATTATAATTATTTACATTATTGAACTATTTTAAATACCAGAGTACCTAACTACTTTTTACAAAAATGTTTATAGGGGACAATATTGTCCGGATTCAAACAGAACTATCAGTAATTTATTCCTCATTCTAATAGCAGTGGCAATGGGAATTCCTTCTTTTAATTCATTCTACCCCTCTCAACATGCACCTAAAATCTCACTTCCAAAAAGTAGAAAACAGCTATTTCTGAGAGCCTGACAAAATAGGCAGGAGGGTGGGAGGAGAAGAGTTGGGGTATGGAGAAGAAAGGAACCGAATGTTTACGAGAAACAGATTCTTGGTATTTTGGGAGAAGCTTTAGGAAAAGGGCTTTGTTGGAGAGAGGACTGGGGAGGGGAGGTTACATGAATAAACTTCAGTAGTTTCTCCTCTCTTACCTGTATTCAGGTGCACATTCACTGCTACAGGTTCCACGAAACTGCTGTTAAGTAGAAACCCCAGAGATCCTAGCACCAAGTGTAATTAGGAAGATGCATATGCATCATTGAAATGGAATATGATGTACCTCCTCACTGTGATTCCAAATTCTGCTACTTTTCTCCTTTCTCAGCATATTTTAGGTTTTTCTTTAGCAAAATATTTTGCTTTGTTAAGCCATCATTTTTCAGCTTCTCTAACATGACATAGTGGCCCTTCAACCATAGGTCCTTTGACATACCATTTTCTCCATCTGAAATACTTCTATCCCCTCCCCATCCTATCTTGGTTAATTCATCTTCTCATTTTTTCTATTCTTGGTTAAATGTTATTTCTTCAGGGAAACCTCAAACACCCTAGTTGTACAACCGGTTCCTTCAAGCCTTTACCTCAATTTATACATATACATTATGAAATACTTAGTATGGTTATTAAAATCTAGTTGAACCATTAAGTTCCCAGCTTAGTAAGAGTGGTGCCATTAGCTGGTTTTGCTCACCACTGCAATCTCCGCATCTGTAACATAGCAAGTGCTCAACAAATATTTGCTGAATGAGGGAATTAATAAATGAACTAAGCAAATGACTAGAATCGAAAGACCTTGATCAGGTAAGAGTTATATTAACTATGTCTTCTCAGAGTAGAACTGTGTGTAATTTTTTTCCTTTGTTGTTTAACTTGTTCGTGTACTCACCAAAGTTTTAAATATACATATTATTTTGAAAATTTCCCATAACGCAAAGTAAACCGAGACCAAACATGAAATATTTAATCCGCCAGGAAAAAGGCTGGACACCCGTAACAGAAGCATGTAGTCTAGCCTGGGGAGTTCACAAATGCCCCACATCCTAAGACACCTCCCTGCTGCGTCTTAGTATCCTTCAGGAGCCAAGGAAAGCACACTTGTCAACCCTCAAGGCAAGTCAGGCACAGAGTACACGGAACCTGCAGACTCCTACCCTTGCCAGAAGCTTCGGTGAGAAAAACACAAGCCTGGGATGACAGGGAAAGAATGAGTATTTACTCAAAATGTATTTGCTGGGCATGTACTGTGTACCAGAGACCCTAGCTCTGGCCTGGCTCTGGCAGACCTGCCGGGTGGAGGGCCCTAGGTATTTCTGCTTCACAGAGCTCCGCGTCCCGAGGTGCACAAATGAGTCCCGGGCCTGCCTACCTCCAAGGGCTGGGCCGGGACCTCCAACAGCCACAGAGCGCTTCAGAAAGTGCCGGGGTGCCTGCAGGCCGGCGGCCCCCAAGCCGGGCCGCCGACCACGGGCAGCAGAGGCAGGCGGAGGCGGGCACCCGCCCTCCGAGGGGCCGCGCTTACCCGTCGGGCGAGTACTCGAGGTTGAAGACCGCGCCGTGGGTGCGGGTGCTGAGATACACCGAGTCCGCGGGATGGATGGAACCATACAGGTTAGTCATGGTGCGGAAATTGTCCCGCGCCGGGTCCACGAACAGCCCGCGGCCCAGGCTGCGCTCTCTCAGCCACCCGAACAGCCGGGCGCCGGGGCCGCCCAGGCCGGCGCCGAGGCCGTGGCGGCCCCGGCTCCCCGCCCTGCAGTCTGGCCCGGGTCGCCGGCGCGGCGGGGAGGGCGGTGACGGCTCTCCCTGAGCGGAAGCGGCTAAGGAGTCTAGAGCTCCGGGCGGCCTGAGCTCCCCCGCGCGCGCGACCAGGGGCAGCGAGGGGGCGCCGGGGCGACGAGGGCTCCGGGAGGGCGACGGGGGAGGGGCTGCGTCAGCCCCGGGCTGCGGCGGCGCGGACGCGGAAAGGAGCGGCCCGGCGGCTGCCGCCTGCCCCGCACGGGGTGCCGGCTCCTCAGCCCCGGTTCCGGCCGTCCCATCCCCTTCGGGACTACCGGGCCCGAAGGTAAACATGACCAACGCACCCGCCCCCCGCACCCGGCCGCAGCCCCGCCGGCCGACACCTCAGCGCTCCCGCTCCAGCGGCCACTTCCGGCGTGCGACCGCCTAACCCTGCCGGCTGGGAAACACGCGCCGCCCTCGGCTACCGTCCGTTGGGGACCGCGAAAGCTGGGACACCGCCCATGGCGGTTGCTTTATCCCGGAGGGTCGGTGATCGGCAACGACTAGCTGTGTTTGAGCGCGACTGAGAATGCTCAGGGCCCGGGCTGCATGGGGCAGTGGTAGCATCAGGGCACCCCTGCGACAGTCGGTAGTTGCCAGTCATCGTGACTGTGTGCCTGGGGATGAGTGGGCCTGAATAAAGGGGTGGACTATGATATGTACTGTTATCCCCAATTTAGGCAAAGGTCACAAGGGGAAGAAATTACCATATCATGTGCAGGTCCCACACAGTAAGTGGCACGGTGTACTGCCTACTCAGACGGGGAGTCTAAGGCCTCAGGTTCACTATTGTGCTAAAAGCCAAGGCCTGGGGCACCTGGGTGGTTCAATCAGTTAGGTGTGGGACTCCTGATTTCAGCTGAGGTCAGGATCTCAGGGTGGTAAGACCAAGCCCCTCCCTGGGCCCTCGGCCCAGCAGGGAGTCGGTTTTATTTTTTATTTTTTTTAAAGATTTTATTTATTTATTTGAGAAAGCGAGAATGATAGAGAGAGAGAGAGCACATGAGAGGGGGTAGGGTCAGAGGGAGAAGCAGACTCCCCTATGAGCGGGGAGCCCGATGCGGGACTGGATCCCGGGACTCCAGGATCATGACCTGAGCCGAAGGCAGTCGCTTAACCAACTGAGCCACCCAGGCGCCCAGGGAGTCGGTTTTAGATTCTCTTTCTGCCCCTCCCTGCTGCTCTCTCAAATAAATAAAAAATCTTAAGAAGTAAAGAAAAAATAAAGCCCAGGTCTATACAGGAACTCGAAAATGGGGTCTATTGGTGCCCCCTGAATATCTGCCCAACTCCCAGCTACTGCCCAGCAGGTCAAGATTTTATCAATGCCAGGGACGCCTGGGTGGCTCAGTCGGTCTGCCTTGGGCTCAGGTCATGATCCCAGGGTCCTGGGATCGAGTCCCTCATCAGGCTCCCTGCTCATCAGGGATCCTGCTTCTCCCTCTGCCTGCTGCTCCCCCTGCTTGTGCGCTCTGTCTCTGACAAATAAAATCTTTAAAAATAAATAAACAAAAAGATTTTATCCAGGCCAAAGTCGTCTTCTCCCACAGGAAGGAGCATATTTCCAGCAGGAGTCACCGAGTGGAGCTGGAGATCTAAATCAAATCAACTGTACAAGCAACAGAGCCCAAGGTCAAATCCTGTTTATATGTGCCAGGCAGGGCACAGAGGGCATGACAGATGCAAGGCCCTTGACCACTGCTGTTAAAGATCAATATATAGAACTCGTTTGTAAAAAAAAGTTAACAGGAACTGGGGTGGTTCTTGGGAAGGGAAGGAGTCTTCAATAAAAAGCTTGAGGTACAAGGAAAGGTAGATACAAGAACTGACAACTCTTCTAGGCCTTGATTAAGAGCTATGTTGTAGAAAGCTCACATTTGATGACTGAGGATAAATCTGGATCTTTGCAGGAAGAGCTATCTTGTGAGGACAGATCTGAAGGATCTCTACAGTAAGGGAATGAGATTCAGAGGGCTGAACATTCTGCAGGTCCTCCCACCAGGAAAGTTAGTAGTTCTTCAGCGCTCTTGTCCATGAGCTGATTGAAAAAAGGGCAAGAAGCATCCATCCTGAGTTGAGAGATCAGGCAGCCATTCCTCATCCATCCTGAGTTCAGAGATCAGGCTTCAGGATACTCTCCACGTTGCCCCCACAAAGTAGAAGGGGTAGAGATCTATTTTGTAATTAAATAATGTTCCTTAAAGACCCCCAACTTCTGGCTGCAACAAATACTTAATAGAGGCCCTCTGCTTGACCCCTAAGTTTGTTTTTTGTTGTTTTTTTTTTTTTTACTATTTTATTTATTTGAGAGGGAGAGAATGAGAGATTGAGAGAGAGCACGAGAGGGAGGAGGGTCAGAGAGAGAAGCAGACTCCCCACAGAGCAGGGAGCCTGATGCAGGACTCCATCCTGGGACTCCAGGACCATGACCTGAGCCATTAAGCAGTCGCTTAACCAACCAAGTTATGGCCAATGGCTAAAATTTCATGGTCTATAAAACTGACCATTCACCAATATTACTAAATTTTTAATAGGTAAAATAAAACAATTTTAAAAGGTTACAAATTCTAAGGCATTTAAGATATAATTCCAACAGAAGAACACAAGCTCTGCAATGAAAGTTTGTGCTGCCTCAAGAAAATCAGATTTCACAGTTCAGGCAATTCAAATTTTTTTCTTTCTTATGCTTCTATTTAAAATGTGAGTCCTCACTTATCAAATATTTTTTGCTAAAAGCTAAAATAATAAATTACATAAGGACTAAAATTCTACTGAGATGATCATGAATGTACAACCCATCAAATTAATAGACAAAATAAATAAAAATTTACTGGAAGTTAACTGAGAAGGCACTAAAGATAGATTAACTGTGACTGCTCCTATTTACCCACTGCCTTTGAGAGCCTTTAAATACAACCATGTCATGTTAACAAGGAATTGACTGCAAATCACAGTCTATATAGACCAATTTCTACGTAACGCTATTTTTTTTTAAAAGATTTTATTTATTTATTTGACAGAGAGACACAGCGAGAGAGGGAACACAAGCAGGGGGAGTGGGAGAGGGAGAGGGAGAAGCAGGCCCCCTGCCGAGCAGGGAGCCCGATGTGGGGCTCGATCCCAGGACCCTGGGACCATGACCTGAGCCGAAGGCAGACGCTTAATGCCTGAGCCACCCAGGCGTCATGTAACACTATTTTTGAGTGCTAAAAAATTTTCAACTTCAACAGCTCAACTTCACAGAAAAGCATCCTCTGGACTTCTTTGCCCTGATGTTCCTTTTAGATCACAACACAAGGAAACAATTGGCAAACATTTCCCCTAGGCCCAGGTATCACATGTCCCTGGATACCCCCAACACTTTAGGATCTAGCTCTTTGAGGAGGCAGGGAGCAAATTCATTTACTTTCTTTCCTATCCACTGACTAGATGTTTTTAAAAAATTACTTCCCAAGTAATGTAGTATGCCTGAAATATAAACACTAATTGTTCTGTTTAGGCTTTTATACTTTGGGAGCAGCAGCTGATTCACTCCTGATGTCTTTGACATCATTGGTACTGCCCATCAAATAGAATTCTTTGTTGGGGACAAGACTGACAAAATGAGCAAGGTGGTTGGACATGGCAAAAAAAGCTGAAATGGCAGCGACATCCCAAGCATCTTCTCGATTGAAGCCATGCATCTCTTAACTTTTTGAAATGGTCATCTGTTATGTCATCAGCTCGGGAAACAGCAAGTGCAAACTCTAGCATTGCCTTTTCCTGAGCAGGAAGGTCAGACTTTCTCCAGTTCACACAGACCTGCAAGAAAACACAGTCAAAAGCAGAATCTCTGTTCATCACAATATAGCTGATAAAACAAAAGGTCTAACAAAATGAAAAATCCTTTAGAATAAAGGGGCAAAGTCAGGACAAAATACTTTCCAATGGAATATGAACTTGAAACTCTGGCTCAGCCCCACCTCTGCCAAGAAGTCTTCTTTGCTCACTACAACTATAAGCACGTCTTGCTCCTCTAAATACTTATGGCTCCAAAAATCTCAGAACCAAGACTCAGAAACTCTAAGTACATAAGGACCCCAAATCCAAACTTTTTCTTATGAGTAAAGAGAAGCTCAGTTAATTATCCCTTTGTCCCCAATTAATCCCAAACAAGAAACAATATCTGCAAAATTAATAGCTGACACCAATTACTATGTGCTAAGGATGTGCTCAATGCTTCGTATTATCTTATTTCGTATAAAAATTCTAGGAAGTAGTATTTTTATTATTGCCCCCATTTTATTGGCAAAGAAACCAAAGCTCAGGGAGGTCAAGCGACCTCCCCAAGGTCATACAGTTGGAACGTGGCAGAGCTGGGATGTGAATCAAAGTGTATTTGATTCCAAAGATTATACTTATAATCATTACCCTTGCTCAAGTAAAATACTGAAAACCACTAACCATCTAAAAAATAGAAGAACAGTTCAGCAAACTATGGTGTGACAGCATACACTATGGCCACCAGGGAAACAATGCCTAGAGAATGATCTTGGATGAATAAAGGTCTGGCAACTAGGCAGGAGGCTCTCAGGACAGCAAAGGTGAGAGGATGTACCTGTCCTGAAGTTATCTTCAGGGTGGCAACAGGGGCCCTTCAGGAACAGTTTGCAAGGTTTCCACTCAGGTGGGGTCAGGAGAGGAAGCTGGGGGGTAGGAAGACCGATGACCCTCAACCTCAGGAATAAATGCAGAGAACAGAGGTTTCTGTTCCCCAGCCCAGAGGATCCGGAATTTCACTGTAGGGATCAGTAGGGCTTTGTAAGTTTGGTCTGCTGTGTCTTTACCCTTAATCCATTTCTCTGGGAAGAATTAGCATGACCTCTGACACCCAAAGGGCCTGATTTTGGACTGAGATAGTAGGCTGTTGGCTGGGAGACTGAGACCCATTTTCACAACCAATCTCGGTGGGAAAGAGAAGATGGAGGCAGTTCTATAAATGAGAAGCAGACAGATGTAGGCTTGGGGCTAGCAGGAAGAAATAGAAGAAAACCTAAGAAACTCATTTGGGCCCATTAGGAATAATTAGCTAAATTCACAATGGCAAATGCAAACAATATAATGTAGCAGAAAACAGTGCAAGCTTTGAAAATGGACTCTCATTTTCTAGTTGCATGCCCCATGTTAAGTTACACCTCTGAACCTCAAGGATAAAATGGTTATTAATAAGGCTCAACTTAGGGGGAGCTGTGTGCATTTGAGAGAATGTATGGCATGTATCTAGGATCAGGTGTGGCACAAAGCTATGGTTCAGCTAACCCCTAGTCCCAAACATCACGTACACACAGAAGCATGTGGG